CCACTGGTCCTCGGACAAGCCAGGTCTTACCTGAGAAAAACTCACCACTTCACATAACATCAGTCTCGAAACAATTCTCCTCACTGATATTGCACCAACCATTATGTTCTGGTGATTCGCTATCATACTCCAGCTCTCCACCCAGCATATCTGCTGTTGACTCTGCGATGGAACTCGAGCACGCTGAAGGAGCTACTGCTGTAGGTCTATCAAATAGTGCCACAAGCAAACAGTACATCGACACTGGATTTAGTAGCGAAAGCCTCTCGCCGAAAGGAGATTTAAAGAGCGACGCTACACCCCTGCTTCAGGATGTCATTAGCAAAATCACCCTTTCGCCGCTTTTGTTCGATCGTACCCATCAGCAAATCTTGGAGAGTTCGGATGCATTGCACGCTGACTATTCATCGGAATCTTACTCAGCGCCTACAGATCATTCGACGAGCCTGGAGTATGCCGAAAATGGTACGAGCGGGGAAACTGGGAAGAGGAAGGTTTCACAAAAGGAGACCACAAGCGATAGACTTTCTGGTACCGGGCAGTCTGATACTGCCGGTCGTACTAGTGGGACGAAGGGTCATTCTATATATGAGGTACCTACTCATAAAAGCCAAACTATGCCAAGGACGTTAGCAGAAACGGCCACCCCTCAAATTAGTCCGCCGATGGTACGACCAACATCAGCCACAAAACCCTCAAAACATGAATGGCAAGACACGGCAATCTATGGCAGTAACATATCAGCATGGCTTTCGAAACAGGGAATGGTATTGATACTCAGCAGTGCCCTTGGGGGCAGTATTGCTCTTATCGGGATTTTTGTTCTACACTATTTAATCATTCGCTACTTGTGTAAGCGCGCTTGGCGATCTACCTCTGTCTTCCAACCAGAAGCCGAAGATTCCCATCTAAAAAGTGACAAGAGGTTAGCTCAGAGAGCGGAAATTTCCCACTTTTCTATGGATACTTGAAAAGTGAATCTTTTTTGGCATTGGGCGACCCCGTATTCTCAGCAACGATTTGCAATAACTCTCCAGATATTGATATTGATAATCCCAGCCAATGGTTCTTTCTGAAAATTCGATTTCCCTAATCAGAGTGCGTACATGTACCGTAGTGGTAGAATTTTAGCTAGCTTAAATAATGACAACCCGAAGCGCAGAGAGGTCTTTCACTTCGGCTTTGAGCAAGAATGATCATTGAACTGCGACGTGCACACAACCTGACCTGACTTAATGGGACTTGACGGATGGCGATGAAGACGGTGACGATGGTGACAAAGATGGTGAAGATAGAAAATTTGGTGAACGCGACGTAGTTCGGTTCGGTCATGCATACAGAATGTGAGTTCGCGCTTTCCTAATATTGAATCCGGAATGGAGAGAGCCGTGCTCTCCCCATAGGCGAGCTATCTAGCGCGCAAATCCCCTGGTTGGCATAAAGAACATCATGATACTGATTGAACCGAAGCCCGCAACTTTGTAAGTCACCTCAAAAATTGGCAATTCTCACCGAAATGATATTATAATGTACTACCGCACCCACAGGTCATCTTGTTATCGTGGCATAGCCAATGACTACTTAAGATTGCTACATCCCTACGTCAATGGCGGTACATCCAATAAGTCACGCTCGAGCTCAATTCCAACAATCTACGGCGCGTGTGGAAGGTCCGATATCTGTGCCGGCCAGATCATGGCTTCCGGAAATGAATTGATCAGCCAAAGCCACGGCAATGTTCTACAAACAACAACGCCGTCAGATAGGCGGAACCAAATCTCCAATGAATGTTACATAAGGTGTATGATCGTGTTGGTTTTACTTCTACACAACACCCGAGAAGATCGTATTACTACCGTCAAGAATGGAGCTGAGCATTCGGTAAATACTGTGACGGCCACACTGCCCAAAACTCGACATTTACCCATGGGTCATAGAGTGCCTAAGATGACCCTGGTACCTGGTCGTCTCATGACTCCAACACGGCTTGCACAAGCTTCGCAGCGAAAGACGGCAAATGGAAAAGCAACAATTCCATTCAAACAAGATCGGCTACCATTAGTAAAGCGGGTGGATACGAATCAAGTTCTGACGAAACTACAAGGCTTCAAGAGACGAGACTGGCCCAAGTTGAAGCGACTGAGTCGAGTTATTCATCGCACTTCAAGGCGAGTTTTGCTCTTTCGTGCACAGCTGTCGGTATTACAATCCGAGCTCGAAGATCGGACATCATCTGGAAACAGTTCAATCACGACAATTATGTGCAAGCAAAAGCCCACAGAGCTGGAGTTTATCCCAGACCGCTTATACCAAATTGGATTGTTTTTTATCCAGCACTATCTCCAAAAGTGGAATGCAAGGTCGGTTGATGGAAATCGGGTAGAAATTCCGGAGCTGGCCGCATTGTTAATCGACCGATTGCC